AAAAAATAAAAAGGAGCACCCGTCATATTCTTTTTTTTTTAAAGTATTATTATCATGGAAAGTTTAAATAAGTTGACTTTAGGAGATCACCACAATTAAAACAATATACTTATGGAACCGCCAAGACTGGGTTTTTTGTAAATAAGGATATTGTGGCTTGCCATGAAATCCCATTTTTTTAATAGGAGATACTATAAGTTACATATTAACATTGTTCTTATATCAAGATTCGAAGGCATATTCCTGTATGATATGAGTTGTATGTTTACTAGTTAAATCAATGTTGTTGAAATCTCATTTAATTAATTAAATTTGATTTCAACAATTGGACAAAGTTGAATTTTATTATTTAATACTCAATATTTTTTTAAAATATATAATGTGGATGTGGATTTCCTTTCTTTCTTTCTTTTTTCCCCTGCCGTCCATAAGGTGGATTTCCATATCAATTGGAGGGACCGCATTCAATTCCATGAGAATCACGCTCCACAATCAGCCAATAAAAACAAAAATAGAAAAGGACCTTTTTGAGTATATGGACTTAAATTTCCATCCTACAAATAATAAATTCTAATATATATAATCATGCCTAATTTTCAACCTTTATATATTTTCAATGAAGTAGTCATGCTTATATATTTTCAATGAAATAGTCATGCCTAATTTTTCGGGTGTCTTAATTATTCAAACACAGATTTTGAAATAAAGTGTAAGATTGCATTCACCACTAAACACATAATTTTCTTTTCTGACCATTCCATGGAATCTACAAGAAATGGTAAAAGAATCCACCTTTTTTCAATTGTTTGATCACTTGATGTGATAAGTAAGAATACATTTCTTATCTGATCACATTCAAATATATTTTCTTATAGAACAAGGAAAGAGGAGGATAATATTTAAGTACCAAAAGAATGATCTAATCGCAGGAAAATAAGTTGTAATGAGAAGTTTTCATTGTGAAAGTTTCAAATGTAACTCCAGTTTATGACTGAACTTCCGTCTACAACATCTGAATCGATATCTGCAATTGCTTTTCAGGATTTTGTTTTTTGGGAGACCTAATTATTATTAAAATATTTTTTTAAAAGATGGAAAAAAAAATCATGTTTTGAAACTTAAATGTCATCAATTATTCTTAAACAAAAAGGTTTAAGGATCATCAATGGGATCATTATGGAATTAGATTACTCAAATCAGAATAGAGAATAGGATCAAGCAAGTTGGCTGGTGGAGGCATTAATTTACAATTTGTCCCTTTCAATGTGAACAATGCGAAATTTTAACTGGAAATGGGTCCCCTTCACTTAATAACGTTGCTTTTAAAGCAATTGCAAACATTGGTGGAAAAGTCGTCACAAATTAGCTTCTTGTTGTGTGTGTGTTATTTTAAAATTACTCTTCTCATAAAATACTGTTTTTATACATCGTACAATTATTTTTAAAATCATAATTTGATTTTTATTCAAACACTCCCTAACTATAATTTTGTTGATAAGACCTTCCCGTGTTAAGTTGGACTGTTGTTGTTTCAAAACTACTATTGCTTCTTTTCTTTTCTTTTCTTTTGTTATGAGTTTTTGTGGGTTAGGTTGTACTAATAATTTTTTTTTCTAGTGTTTCTGGGTTTCAGCTATTGGTATTTGTAAAAAAACTTTGTACAAGCTTTTATTTTGATTCCTTAATTTTGTAAAATATATTTTTTTTCTCTGATCTTAAGTCATTAACAATGCTAATATTAAATTTTAAATATTAAAAAAATTCTCAAATTCCAATATATTCAGTTTAATTTAGATTAATAATGTTAGAATTAGAGAACTGAAAAGATATCTTTTAAAATAAAGAAATCAAATTACTAACAAGCTGTTGGTTGATATGGTAATGATTCATTCTCATAAGGAAGAGAACACAAGTTTAAATTTCAGGAATAGTACTTGTTACCCTTGTTTCATAAAAAAAAAAAAAGAAATCAAATTAAAATTTTATACTACTAAAACAATTAGACGGCAAAAAGTATAAACAAAATTCACTGGTGAGCTTTCAAGGGTGGGAATTTGGAGCCATTTTGTAGGCACATCACATCAATCGGTCTAATTCTGAAAGTCCAAATTCCTCCCCTCCAAGTCTCTTCCGACAGCCTCTTTATCTTATCATATAAAATTAGTGGCCACGACTTGAATGTTTCTTGATCTGAAACTAAGTTTCGTATGGTTTGTAAGACTATTCTTTTTCCCTTGAGATTGGCTAAAGTTTCACTTTTAAAAAATATGAGCCGCAAAAATTATAAAATAATACTTACACCCTCTTTATCTTATCGGATAAACTTAATGACCAAGACTTGAATGTTTCTTGATATGAAACTAAGTCTTTTTTTTTTTATAACGTTTTTTTCAGTCATTTTACGCAGCAAACAGAAATTTCTTCTAGAATGTTAGATTTGTTTAAAAATGAAATTTTTTTTAAATTTACTCTTATTTAAAATCATAAATTTCAATTAAAAATTAATTGTGCAAATTTTAATTAGGGACAATCCATAAAAAATATAATTAACATCCCATTTATCAACTCATAATAAAAATCTCAACGACACAAATCAACATTGAGATCTCTGTTAAAAGAGGTTGATAGTATTTTGAATAGAATTATTCTCAATAAAAAAATTGCTAGTAAGAATTATTTATTTAAAAAACAAATGAATTATAACAAGATATGAGGGAAATATGATTGTAATAACTTATAAAACTATAATCTTTATCTTGGGATTGGTCAAAAATTAAAGTCTCAGTTGGAGAAAATATGAGCCATAAAAATTATACAATAGATCCCATGGAGGATAAGATCGCACATCATCTCCTCATCATCATGCCGTCCTATAACTAAAAGCGGTCAAAATTCAAAGCTATATAAAATGTCTGGGAACATCTTACAATAGAAAATTCTTCACGGATTTAAAAGTATCATGCATGTGGATTTAAACAACTACATATACATATATATATATATATATATATATAAGGTCTTTCTTTTAAAAGTCATACATATCCACAAAAGTCATTTTCACAGCTTGTTCTTCGTCGAAGTTAATAAACCGGATATGTCCGTGTGTTCAACTATATTTTAGCCCTTTATACAAAAATTGTTGAAAAATCCCTCTTGAGGTATATCTCTTCATTAATTGTTTGTAACCCATTTTTAGCTACATACAAAATAAAAATGTTTGCCAATTGTTGAAAATAAGCTTCTTGCTCTTGTCTTTATTATAAGACTTCTGAAAAAATTTGTACTCCTTTTTATAAGATTTTATGATAGTTTCAATAAGCATTAAATATTTTTTTTCATATATAAGAGAAAACATTAATATGATGTTAAAGTTTATGGCGGCAATACTTTAAAAGTTACTTAAATTTTATAACAAATTTAATATTTTAAACTATTTTTATCGGTACGTGTGAATTAGTTATTAATACTTGGTAGTAGTTTCTTATAATAAGGACCAGATGGAGTATAAGTTACACCGGCTAAACTCAAGTGATTTTAATAAAAAATACTATTTTTGATTCTTAATATAAGAGCTAGTTGATTAACTTGAATAGATTAAAAAATTAGTTAAATTAATTATTATAATAAATAGGTAGTTTCTTTTTTAAAATATTCTTGCTAATCAAGTGTACTGACTAGAATTACCACTATAACAAGAAAAAATTAATAAATATGAGAGACAAAGTGGATTGGGATCTTATATTATGATCAAAATAAAAATCAAACGATTTTTATATAAAATATTAGAGGTAATAATAAAGACTGTTATATTTATTTTTATATTAAAAATATTTACATACCCTTGTCTTCGACTATATTCCTTCGGGAGCAACAGAGCTCTTTTCCCCCAGGGTTTTTGCCCTTCTCTAGCCGGTCTGTTGGCAAATTTCACTCACATTTCATTTGATTTATTTCATTTGTACTTCTATTTTTTTTTGGTCATATTTTTTTCGCTTATTCTCTCCAGCCCTTTATTCCCTTTTTTTAATTTCTAATATATCTTTTATATATTTACTACTTTTAAGTAATTTTGATTACATCTTTTCTTTACATAATTCAGCTATAGGTAGTTTACACATAGGACGAGAGGCATACATTCAACTTTAAAAGCATATGACATTATATAAATAATAATACACAATTTTTACAAGAAGGCTGATTAACATATAACCACAATAATTTTCACCTGAAATTCAAAAAGAGCAAGAGAGAGAAAGAGAGACAATTTTTATCTGTCCAAATAATCTTTACATGAATACACACGTCATCACCTCCTTCACACTCCCTTCTCATTCTTGGATCTCAAAAGCAAAAACTATCCCCCATAATAACATACACTTCCATCCCACCTCATTATTCCTCTTATTTATCTTTATTAAAACCGTCATCATCACTGCTTCTTTTCTTCTGGAATTTGATTTCTTCTTCAGAAAACAGAAGCTTGGAGTCGTCTTGCCAGTTCCTTGCTCATGAGCTTCCTGTCAAACCCAGAAGCAGCCAACATTCCTCTGTTTTCTTCAGCTCTTCTCAGAAGATATGGCATCACCATCTCCACCGGTCCGAACGGCATATATTTGCTCACCTGAAACCCTGCGTTGCTCAATCCGTACGATAACCCTTCTGACATTCCATATAATTGAGCAAATTCAAGCTTGTGATTCACCTTCCCCATCCCCAATTCCCAGGCTTTCGCCGCCGCGAGCTTCCCGGACTCCACGTTATGCGTCGCCAGGACCACCGCTCCGCCGGAGACAGCCCCGGAGCCATTCGCGATCCTCTCCAGCATCAGAGACGAACAGTCGTTGAAGCACTTGTGGGTGTCTTCAATGGTGTTGTGAATCGGAGACGGTTGACCCAGTGACTCGGCGAGTCTTCCCTCTGTTGACATGTAAGCGCCTCGGACGAGTTTGAATCCCATTGGGACTCCCATTTTGTCGGCAACTTCCGTCGTCTTCAACAACCTCTCTTTGGCATCTTTCAGGTACGTCTGCATCGTCCCGAAGATGATGGGGTTGTTGCCTCTGTTATGCTCGACGGCGGAAGAGTACGTGAAGTAATCGATCGCCGGCTGGACGGTGGTGTGCTCGGCGTCAACCAGCAAGGGGATGTTGGCCTGAACACATCGTCGTGATAATTCTTCGAGTCTCCGGTGAGCGAGCTCAAGATCAGATTCTTCTTCTGGTGTCAGAGGCTCTGGTCTGGTTTGAGTATGGTACAAAGGACTGGATTCTGAGAAAATCGGTAGGGTTTCTCTCTTCCATGGAAGATTCAAGCTTGGATCTTTCTGTTGCCATCTTAACAAATCGCTTACTCTTTCTAGCAATCTCATGGGACAAATCGCAGTGATCTTCACTATCACAAAGCTTACCTGCAATTACACAAAAAAAACCCACAAAGATCAAACTTTAATCCATTAAATAAACAACCCCAGAAATGTCAATAACTTTAACATAGTTTGAAAGGTGACACATTTACATTTTACAGGAAAACCATATGTAACGTTGTTCATGGGGTTAAGTGACACGAAGCTTAAGCGTGCCTCAACGAGGAATCTAGGACTAGGAGGACCATGACAGGCAAATTGTACTTTTTGGCATGTGGGGTCCATTGAAATGAAGGAGCAGGGCCCACCAAAATGGACGATGGAGAGCAAAGCAAGCTAGTTGTATTTTGAATCACGAGAATTATTTGTACAATATTGTCCGACGTTCTCTAGAAGTGAAACAGAGCCCAAATTGAATGTACCACTGTGTACAAAATCTGGATTCAAGTGGGACAAGAAAAATACGAAAAAGGGCAAAAAGAATTTTTTTCGCTTTTTTCCATTTTCATTTTCCAGTT